GGAAACAGACCAATGCCTGTAAACACATCAGCGTATTCATCTATAATCGACTCAGAATCTTTCTCTGGGGATGATACAGACAGCACCAGCTTAATCATGTCCAAGTCTAAGCATGCCTTTAATCCAAGCACAGGTGGTGACTGGGTGTCCACAATAAAGAAGCCTAGTGGCATGACATTCTCTTTATATTTGCAGTGCAGTTGGCATGTGCCTTTAACTGACAATGGCTGTCCACCATATCCTGTGAGATTTTTGTGTGTAGGCTGAATCTTTGTCTTTGTTGCAATTTTTTTGAAGTCTCTCTCGGGTATTACATTAACCTGAGCACCCGTGTCCAGTTTGAATTTCAATGGCGAGCCATATTCTTTTATTTCAACTTCAGCAAAAGCTTGCTCTGATGAAGTAATTGTGTTTGTGACAGAGTCAATAAAAAATTCACTACTCACATCTGGGTATCCGTCTTCAGGTTTTTCACTTACAATATGCACAGATTTCGATTTAGACTTGCAGACCTTTGCAAAATGATTCTCCTTTCCACATTTAGCACACTGCTTTCCTTTAGCTGGACATGTCTCTTTTCTTTTGTGCTCTTTCCCGCAGTATCAGCATGTATGGAGGCGTTCTGAATGCACACTGCTTGTTTTTGAGCTTTTCTGACAGCTCTGACGCATTTTTGCATGCTTTCCTATTGAGTGCACTTGTTGCTCCTGATTTGCATTTGTGCTGCCGGTGGCCATACTTCTCATCTGAGCCTGCGCAATCTCACGCGATCTGGCAATGTCGATTGCTTTTTCTAATGTTAATTCAACACCCTGATTGAGTAATTTCTCTTGAACGTGTGGGGAATAAATGCCGAAAATGACACGGTCTCTCACCATCTCCTCTGGGTTGGTGTAGCCACATTCTTTAACGAACAGTCTGAGTCCGGTGACAAACGGCAGCATCCATCTTCGCGATTCACTCTGACACCATGTATTATTTGTGAAAAGATGACTAGAGTCCTGGATCAGCTTCAACACATGCGGTTCTCCTTTTATTCTATTATCCCTTTTCATACACTGCATCACATCCTATTCACCCATTGCCCCCTAGTGCCTATATGCAGGAACTACATAACACATCAGAATTACAAATCTATATTCAACAACTTGAATATTACAGCTCCGGCCGGGACACGACATCACAGTATGGTGAGGGGCGTAACATTTCCGTCACACGCTTGAGGTATTCAGCCAATCACAACGCACTGGATAGCTGGCCAATCAGAGCACACCTCACTTTTCAGACCGATGAGCTTTGTAAAAATCGGCGCGTTTCAGAAAAGCGGGGCATAGAGGAGAAACAATAATATACAGTATGTGGAAAATAATGTGTTTTTTTAACCTTAATAAACATAATTTCATTACACCAAATACACAAAATAATGTTCTTTTTAGCAACGTCATATGACCCCTTTAAAGAACTTTGGCAAACAACAATCTGAATTTCATCTTAAATACAAAGTGTTCCAAGGACACAGCTTAGAGATTAAGATTCCAGTTTATTAGCACAGCAGTTGTACACATAAAGTGGCTGGAAGGAGAGACACACCTTTTCTTCTTTATTCAACTCAGACAGTGATTGTTATTCTGCTCGGCTCGGTACAGTCCGCGGGTTAGTGGCAACATGTTTCCCATTTTCATTTCTGCATACTCTAAATATTGAGAAGTTTCCTTTTTGAACTCTGAGAAATGTTGTGTCTACACCATCTAACGGCTGAGAATAACAGAACTTGACCCAACAGCTTTGCAAATCAGTCAGTACAGCAGAAGCTAGAGGTGGGAAACCTCTAAAGTGGCCTCTCTCAAAGATCCTCATGAGAATTGAAAGTCTGTCTGTTCAGCAACCATACATAGTAACCACCTAGTGACCATGTAGAATGATAGAATGACTGAGACAGAACAACAGAATGACAGACAGAACAATAGAAATGCAGATAGAACGATGCAGCGACAGACAGAATGACAGAACAGTAGAACAAAAGAACGCTACGGCGATCAATAGAATGCTAGAACGATAGATAGGATAGCTAGAACAATGGACGGACGGACAGACGGATGGATGGATGGATAAATGAGCCTGGTGATCTGGAGTGTGACATCAGATGTGTCTAATGCACACGCATCATGTATCTGAAAAATGAACGTCTGTCAGTCTTTGGTTCCCTTGGAAATGAAAGGCTTTATTTATGGAGCCAGATCAGTCTCAAAAATAATACATTTACAAAATAAAATTCATAAATGCACAGCACAATTCACATTTACAAAATCCAATTCATAAATTCAAAACACAATTCATAAATACACAAGTAAAAGCATAAATATTTCCCCAAATGCTCACACAAATGCATCTTACCTAAATAAATTTAAAATGTTTCCACAAATATGTATATATCAAGTTCTTGAATTAATTTCCATCACGCATTTATGAATGATGTTAGATGTATTTATGAATCGTTGAATCTGCATTTGCAAATCGTCACACGTGCGCGGACTGCTTTGAATTTGTGTGCGGTATTTTTGAGACCTTCCTGGCAGGTTAAGATTCATAAATATCTTTTTTTGGAGGATGTTCCGTTTAGCCAATCGCGGTGAGCTTTTAATCCACCAATCAAAACACTCTTTACTGAACAGACTCAAGAAGCTCAACGCTGCGCTTGTACTGTGCATTGTTCCATGA